GGTGAACCAACTGGATGGGTGGTTTCATCCTTTACCCTCTGGTCAACAAACAGTTTGCTATTGAAAATGGCAATAGAAATAGTTGATTTACCCATTAATAGCATGGTGATTTTCCAGTTCTTTATGTGGCTGTTTACCAGATTTTGACATTTCAATAGGAATATCAACTAACCAACTAACAATTGAATTCTTCGCAGGAGATCAGGGTATCTCAGATTGGCAATGACTTGATAGATAAAAACTGGGTAGAACTGTCGGACCAGCTGTTGAACGATTGGAACGATTGATAACGATTGTCATCGTCATGGCCTTAGTAAAGGTGATTTTACCCTCTGGGAATCACATGGTTTGGAGAGGTTTCCCATAGTTTGATGATGTTCCCAGCGAACTAGGCCTGCAATTTGTAGTGGATTTTCCTATGAATTTCCCATGATTTTCCCATGTTTTTTCCCATGATTTTCCCATGATTGTCCTATGATTTTCCCATGGTTTTTCCCATGAATTTCCCATGATTTTCCTATGATTTTCCCATGGTTTTTCCCATGGTTTTTCCCATGAATTTCCCATGATTTTCCCATGTTTTTTCCCATGATTTTCCTATGATTTTTCCATGGTTTTTCCCATGAATTTCCCATGATTTTCCTGTGATTTTCCTATGATTTTCCCATGGTTTTTCCCATGAATTTCCCATGATTTTCCTATGAATTTCCCATGGTTTTTCCCATGGTTTTTCCCATGTTTTTCCCACAATCAATGGTGGATTTCCAAGGCGGCCCTTACACATCTTCTGCCAGGAACAGAAAGACAAGTCGACACAGTGCTGAGCTTAGCAGATGGGTCTGTTTCTAAAGACCCTTGGGTGAATATAGCAAACACCAAATGGTGATTCAATGGGATTCATTAATTAATTGCATCTAATGGAAGTTAATGGAATTTAACGGGATTTGGTGGAATTTAATCGAAGTTAATGGGATTTAATGGGATTTAATGGGATTTAATAAGGTGCTTCCTACTACGGAAAATCCCTTGAAAATGGATGATTTAGGGGTACCTCGATTTTAGGAGACCTCCATGTAGCCAACACAAAATGGTGATTCAATGGGAATTATATAATGGAATTCAATGGGTGATTCAATAGGATTTCATGGATGATTCAATGGGATTTACTGGGATTTACCCTCTGGTAATCTAATAGCTAGAGATTTTTGGATGAGGGCATGCCATTTTCGGGTACCTGGGAAAGGAGTCGAAAGGACCCCCCATACCTGAAAGGATCCAAATTGGTTGGGTTTCCGGGTCTCAATTCCTGGTGATTGCTAGGGAGTTAGAACGGTCGGAAGAAGTATACACATGCGCACAGTACACGTAAATTGATATACGTATTCTGGTTATACAAACAATGATCATCGACGATCTATTTAGTCTATTTATATCCACGGGAAAATGACTTCCAGGTCGTTCCTTCCCAGTTGGTGATTTTTCTTCATCTCCATATATCTCCATGGCCATGCAACAGGATCCGATTGATTGGAGGTACCTATATACCATAGATCAAAGGCCTATTTTTCAGGCCTATGTACCCTCTGGTAATTTAACATAACTATGGAAAATCACACTTTTGAATGGGAAAATCCACTATAAATGGTGATTTTCAATATCTATGTAACAAATTACCGGAGGGTAAGGGAATTCCCAGCAGGATCATCCGCCTGGATCCAAGGAACGAGACCCTGATGCCGTTGATTCGGTCTCTTGGAGATGATATTTTTGCTGGTGATTTGAGGTGATAAAAACTGGTGATATAAAAACTTAAGGAGAAATCAGCTAGATCTAAAACATGGTAAAATGATGTAAAATGCTGGTATTTACCGGTGATTCATGCTGATATACTGAAGTATCATCTTGTATCATATTGCTAGATCGGTAAAGTGATGTGAAAGAATATGGTTGGAGGGAATCTGGGCCCTACCATGGAACAAGCACGCCCGGGAATCGTTTGAATTCTAGGCGGATCAATGCCCCTGAAGAAAGACTGAGATAGCAGTTGACACCAGATGTTGCTTGTCAGACCTTTGTCAGACACTCTGGCAAACATGGTATATCATGGTATATCGTGGTATCTTTTTGTTGGCTCAAAAACGTTGAAACACCACATCAATTGGTATACTTTGTGTTTTCGGGGATGAACATCCAGCTAGACCAGTGAGTGGGTTGCGAGGCTGAAGGGAATGCCTGAGATGAACGCGGCACAGGTGGGGAGTGAGGGAGCCCCAAATATGGCCAAATTTATGTAATGGAAAATGAATGAACATGAACCATCAAAATATATCAAAATTTGGGATACCTTGTTTTCAGACAACCAACTTAAAAAAGCAGACTTCGCAATGACTAAACTGCCATTTTTACGGGGAGATTGTCCAGAAATCGGGGGGGTTTATCGCAGCCTGGGGGATCTAACCATATCAACCCCGGTGAATCCAGGTGTCCCCTTTTGGCTGCTCCAAAATCCCCAAGGCGAGGTACAGCGGTTCTTCATCCAAGACCTTGGTTTAGCGCTAGATCCATGGATTTTAGGTTTTTTTTGGGGTGGGAAACCTATGGAAACTCCTGCCAATTTTCCTGTTCATGTCCCAATTTTTGATATAGTGTCGGTAAAAATTTGCTGATTCAATATGCCTACAGTCCCATTTACCCTCTCCTAATTTAACAGTTTGCTGTGGAAAATCACTCTTGTTGTATGTTTAAGACAGATTTATCATCAAACGGAATGGGCATTGGCTTCCACATGCTTCCACTCTTGCAAACTGTTAAATGATCGGCGAGTATCCCAACTAATCCAAACATCATGCCTAACTCCCATATCGTTGGTTATCAATGGTCACTATATCCTCATATTTCCTCATATTTATTTAACTAATTACAATACAATATATACCCTCTGGTTATTTAACATAGCCATGGAAAATCACCATGTTATTAATAGGTAAACCGTAAACCATCTATTTCTATGGGCCATCTATTTTCCATGGCTATGTGAAATAACCAGAGGGTATATATATATATATTAATATATGATTATATATATATATATATGTATGTCCTCACTGGATTCCCATCACAGCCTCTGGAAATGATGTCCCTAGCAGACCTAGCAATGGAAATCACCTGCTGATCGGAGGCGATGGCTCGGCCCTTTGGAGGCGAGGTGGTTTGTTTCACCAGCTCTGTTAACGTGCGCAGCTCTGGTACAAAGGTGAAAAATAGAAATCAAAAAGGGTAACCCCCTGCTAAAATAAAGATCCATTTTAGTAGAGTGATAAATTGACCCTGTTCGAGCATTTTGTTCGGGATGTTCGAGCAACGGAAAAAAATGGATAAAGTCAGCAACGGAAAATGATGAGAAACGGAAAAGGCCATGGTTTTTGGCACCAGGGCTTCAGGCTTGATTCGAGGGGAATTCATCAACGTTTGAGGATCGATATGGATCCGAATATGCTACCCTTTGGTAGACTAACATAACTCTGGAAAATCACCATGTTTAATGGGTAAATCAACTATTTCTATGGCCATGCCATTAAATATTCATTATAGATCCTTAGGATCATGGATCTACCCTCTGGTAGTTTAACATAGCTATTGAAAAAGGCTATTTATAGTGGATTTTCCCATTAAAAATTGTGATTTTCCATAGTTATGTTAAATTACCAGAGGGTATCTTTGAACTTATTCGAGGTCTTTTTGCTGACTGTTTGAATTTCGCTTGTATGAATGCTGAATGACTAAGAGTTCGCTGTTCCTTGTGCAATTGCCCTAGTTCTTACGCTATACAAGATCATTGTCGGCTCATGCCCTGGTCAGATCATCAAATCCGATGGATTTTTAGCGTCAAGTTTTTAGATGATGAGAATGTTCTTAGATGTTCTTAGTATGTTTGTGGTAAGAATTAGTTAAATTTCTATCCATGATGCTTCGCTTGTTTGCTGCTGTTTGCCTGGCAGACAGGACAGGTAAACGCCACCTATAGATGCTGGTTGAATTCAGCCAAAGACATCGATCATCATATCATTCATCGGCCATATCTTCCCCATGATATCTCCATGTTTTTTTCAGATGATGTATGTGTGTATATATATATATATATATACAGTATATATATACAATTCATTACAATTCTATGACATGGTCATGGGGTATATGATATTCCCATTATCCTGGATGATAAATAGCCATTATCCCAGCACAACCCCATTGTATCATATCTGGGAAATTATAATGACCTCACTGCAACGTCACTGGAATGATGTTTAGGATTTGGGGAATCATCCCCAAATGGCCGTAATTCAGGTTTGTGAAATAATGATACTATGATATGTTCATTTACCATCATTTACCATCATTTACCCTCATTTACCATCATTTACCCTCATTTACCCTCATTTACCCTCATTTACCCTCATTTACCCTCATTTACGCTCATTTACCCAGGTTTTTACACCCAAAGATGTCATTTCCTGTGTTTTTTTTTCCGCACCCGCCGTGGCGTTCAACGACATTTTGCCTCGCAACTTGAGGCGACGACGAGACTGGAAGGCAGTGGGGGTCGGGTAGGTCGACACTGAGGTGGGTTGGTATTTGACATAGCTATTGAAAACTACCTGGAAAACCAGGTGTCCTATAAAAAGTGCCAACTACGCCACTGTGTGCGGTTTTGGGATCAGAAATAGGGCACTGAGATTTCAAGCTTTTTCACGCCATGGCTCAAGCAGATCGACATGCATAGAGCACATCACAAATGCAACATCTTCCTACCACAGGAGTTGAGTAATCCATCCACAGTACAACATAAACGATGCATGTTTATTTTTTATTCAACCCGCTGCGGTGCCAAAGATGCAGGACCGATCTGACCAAAGAGGGCCTGTCATTGGGCAACATTGGGCTGTAGGAACCATTTTTTTTAGGGTGACTAGATTTGAATCGACACTATTATGCATTATATTTCACTCCCAATTCGCCACCAAGGCAATCAGGTAGCGGGACAGGGTCCGTGTATGGACGGTCCTCAATGAAACCGTTCTGGAAATGGCACTGATTTTCCCTACGTAGTCCTCGTCCATTTGACAGGAAAACATCAAGATATTTGGGCTTGGTAACCCAAGGCGTTTTTGCATCTCCCAAGTGAAGAGCCACTCACCAAAAAGGTGAAATTTAGGCATGAATTTCCATCGCGTGCAATTGGCATTGTATGCCCTCAGGGCACACTTGCTAAAAAAATTGACACACCTGCTTCCAGCCTTCAAGAGAAAGTCTCTTTCCCCGTGGGAAAGCCAAAGCCCAGCTCTGTAGAGGCACTTCATAAAAGCATTGGCTGCACTGATTGTAGCATGAATCTCAAGGAAAACTGGCTTGGATGATTCGCTCATCATGTTCAACTCTTCTCCAATGCGTGACTCTAGAAATTCCAATATGACCACAGTGTCCGCGCCCTTGAACCATCCCCTTAGCAATGTTTGTTTTGGAATGGGAGTATATCTTTTGACATTCAAAGACCAGAAAAAGACAAACAGTAAAACCAAAACATTGTTGAATTAGATTCAAACAAGTTTCGCTGTTGGGTAGTCACTGGACCTGCCAAATCCCAGTAGTGCTCGGGACAACTGTGTCATATGTAATGTCTTCGACTGTGTAGTGCAAAACTGCTTCAGCTCCGAAAAACATGTCGAACAGAAGTCTTCGAAAGACAGGCCACCGAAAAATTCATGATCGTAGCAGCAGACCTGTGGATGCTTCAAGCCAGTTGGGAAAAGATACAACAGGTATATCTATATTTATTTGCCATTTTTTGGGCAACTACAGGCTAAAATTTGCCAAACACTCTCAGAAACAATTGCGTTGGCTGCGATGTCCCCCATGAATCCCTTGTGCAGGGCATGAAAGGCATCAACTCTGAAGAAGTCAGGTTTGTCCGAAACATGTAAAGGAATAGAAGCCACCAATGAAGGCTCAACCCTCCATGGCAAGGGTGGATCCTCATGCATTTTGATCATGTTTTCGTACGATAGGTCATGCCAATTTTCGAAACCAGGTCGATCTGCATTGCACATATGGCAGATTCCCTTCCCATTTGCCCCTGATGTCACCAAGCGGCCAAAATGGCGGGTTAGACCGCCCACCTTGTTTAGAGCTGGCCAGTCCCCCTTCATACAGAGCGGGATGAGATAAACGGTTCCCATCTCATGGTGTTGCAAACGAATGCCGTCATAAAATGCTTTCGACAACTCAGTGGATAAATGGGATATCAATTTCAGCAATGGACGGTTCTTCCTTTTACCACCATAGGCGCGACCCAGCATCACACTCCATAGCACTCTCGTAGTGTATGAGTTTCCAGTCATGTTAATGCCAAGTTCTTCTGCAGAGCTTTTCCTCTTTCTGGTGCCTCTTCCCATAAGAGAGTGGTATTGGATTATCATGATTGATTTTTTTTTCAGCGTGCACCCCTCGTCACAATGAACAGCTATAGGAATACATTGTCCTTCACGGCCCCGATGGGTTTCAAAGATTGGGTGGCGTGGATGCAATAGCCTCCACTTTGACCAAAAATTTTGAAATTGGGCCTCGCCATTCCCTTGCAACAAGATGTCCAATTTGGCCGACATATCGTAATAGGAAACGGTATCCTGGATCGCCAGAGTAGGATGGGTTTCCGTCAAACCAACATCCACATAGGTCAAAGGTATCTGGGCTGATAGGCCATAGTCCGACAAGCTGTTGGCAAACCTGTTTTGGTGCCCTGTTTTGGAAAGCCTGGCAGCCATTTGAACCAGGTCTGCACTAGCAATCTTGGCAGGGTTTCGTAGATGTGGTGAAAACTCTTCCCAAAAAGCCCTTGCAATAGAGCAGGCTTCGGTTTCCGAAACCTAGTTGGCTCACCCAAAACAAGTTTCGCTTTAGGGGTTCGTCATCACTTGACAGGGACAAAGCTTTGCAAAAATATCTATATATATATGTATATGTGTGTATGCTATATATATATTTGTAACACTATAATATATACATATATATACATATATATATAATTAAAAATGCATACATATGTATGTATATTATATGTTTATATATATATATGTAAATGAATATATATATATACTGTATATTTATTTATTATATATATATAATATATATATATATTTCGATCCCAAACACTATTCCCAAAACATTGACAGAACCCAACCGGGCAACACCACCAGCCACCGCAGCGGCCAAAGCTTTCCCAGCAGGACCATGTGGTTTGCTTCTCCTCTTTGAGCTTGGAGGACCTGCGCGAAGGGGTGTAATTGGGGGAAGGGTCTGGTGTTTACCAATACTGTACCTCCCAACTTTGCAAAGTTTCTATTCGAAGTATTTTCCCCCAAGTTGTTCCACAGATTTGTCGACTGGCTAGCAACTGACGTGCATCCCAAGAATGGTATTGGGAGCGGAAGGGCCTGCAGGTGAGGCTAAAAACACTGTGCCCCTTTTCGTCAAGACAGAATCCCAACGCACACTGAATGGAACTTCCAGACATATGTTTTGATAAACAACGCCATTATATACATATTTTGAAACCATATGATATATAAACTGTTGGAGGGCCAAGTGTTGAACATTGAGAATTGGCATGTATATATATACGTGGCTAGAGCTTCACGCACACTGGAGCGTCTCAACTGCACATCGATCGGTCCTGAGCTGGGCTTTCGCTTGGCTAGGAATGGTGATGGCCGAGCTGTGCTGCAATGACTTACACTTCATTCATCCAAGGTGCGGGAAGCAGGGCGAAAGTCCCTGCATGGAAACACTGGAGGTTGGCAATTATTAAGACAAGAGGGGCCCTAACAAAATTACAAGAGTAACCTGGCCTTAGGAAGATGCCTTCTTTTTCTTGGCTTTCGACTTTGCTTTTGGAGTCTTGGTATCATCATGGTCATCATTCTTACCAGACTTACGCTTTCGGGTTTTGGGCTGTGCCGATGCTTTCGGCGCGGCATCGGGGGATGCAGATCCGGGACCATCTCCCTGCCGAGCTTTCGGTTTCAGAAGGGTCCTGAGTTGCGGCATCATTGACTTGGTTTCTACTTAACATATACGAAACTGATTGGATGAACATGCATAAGCAATCCATCAAACAAAATGACATGTATTTAGGAGCAGACTTCCTCAGCTTCGTGTCTTCCATAAGTGCACGAGAGGTCCTTAAGATGGATCATGATGTGTAACAAAGACATAGGTTTGTGAACCCTCCTGTGAATAAAATCCCTTTCAACAAACCCTTCCCATGGACACTGCTCAACAACCACCTTCGGCTCAGGAGTTGGCTCAGTCTCGATCTTCTGCACAAGATTGTGGAGGCACTGAACCTTCCTGGGATTGTTGGTGCAGGACCGGGGTTCAATTGTGGGGTATATATTTGGATGTTTCAAGTTTACGGTTAACCGAATTAGAATTTAAGTCGGGCAATGCTCTGATGTAAAATATTTGCGGGCATTGCACACGTCCAATTGAAAAAAGTTTCTTCTCATCGAAGCGATCTTTCTGGCCATCAAAGTAGGACTTGAGGTCGGCCAAATCATCATGAAGCTTCATCAGATTGGAACGGAATCCTTCGACTTTCTTTTGGCTCCTTAAGTCACAAAGAGTCGCCACGAGTATAGCATGAAATCACAATTTAGAGATATGGAACCTTAATTAAAAGCAACTTTGACTTTCGAACTGGGGGATGCTTCTAAGTGCTACAAGAGTTCTCTACGCATTCATTGGTACCCAGAGCCGCCAACTTGTCTCTGGCCGTTTCCATTTTCGACTGCACTCTGAGCATGTTGGCCATCACGGTGCTCACATTTTCAATGGCCTCCCGAATACAGTATAAAGACAATGGACACTTGACATACTTTTGGGATCATGTGCATGGATTCCGACATATCCCGGCCTCTAGGGTGTGTTCCTCTTCAACATCATGTTTACCCGGTACCCGGACCTTTGACTTGGAAGATGCAGTCTCATCCCCATCGTCATCCACCTGCTCCAAGTCCGTCACCTCTTCAGGTGCATCGCCTGGATCATGAGCGGTCGACTCAGCCGGTGCCAACCCCAGCTCAAAGGAGTCAGCAACCCCTTCCCCCATAGTTCGCTCAGTAAACGATTCCTCGTTCTCATTCTCATAGCTACCAGTAGTAGACACATCAACCCAGTACTCCTTGATCTTCGGCTGATACTTGTCCCGCCTGAACCCAGGGCTATGAGATTGAACATGAACATTCCATCTAATGTTGGTTTCAAATCTCAAATCTACATATTATATGTCGTAAAATGCATTTGTAAAGGTTCAAGCCTGACAAACGTCTTGACTCGGGATTTGTCTGTGCAATACGCCACGGCAGCGTTGATTCTTTCCCTTAGGGGGTTCAGGAAGGTCAACATACACCATGGATGGGGAAACCCTTTCTTGCCAAACCGAAGTATATAGTAAGGTTCAGATAGTGTATATTTGGGACCCCGATGCATGGCAAGAAAGAGATTCTCAACTAAATTCAATGATTCAGCAACAGAATGGCGAACCGATAGACTAAGAACCTGGCTTGTTCCAACCAAGCTTGATTTTCATATTCTCTTTGGTGTAAAACCCATTCTCAACATGTATCTTGGAACGACGGGACTTCTTCTGCATGTGCTCGATGTTTTTCTTGAACTCTTCCTCCAGGGGTTTGGGCTTGAAAGAGTTAATGAACATTAATGAACATATGTCCGTTCATGTGAACCAAAGAGTGCTTTAATTTGATCATAAATATATGATATACCCTTTCGAAAATTCCTAATTAGGGTCCTTGTTGCCACCGGCTTTTATGAGCATGTTCAAAAGGCATTTTCGCTGAGCACCCCCATTTTTCCACTGCCGGTGAATCTCCATCGATACCTCCAGTTTCCCTGACCCAGGCTTCGGGCAGCAGATGCGGCGCAATGCAGCATCCATTGCATTCTGCAGCTTGGCCGCAGCTACCTTCCACGGGCGTTCCCAAAAGAAATCTTAACTACTGTTGAGTGCCACCCCAAAAAGAGCACCCACAAAGGAAAAATGCGAAAAAGGAACCCCCCCCCCGGGGGGGGGAGGGGGGGGGTTCCTTTTTGCGCATTTTTAGCTGTTCTGGCTTGTTTGGCCATGGCAAACCAACAAGAATATTATAATATATTTTACATATCAAAAGTTCCATAGACCCATATCATCTATTTTCTCAGGGGTGGGGTCGGGCATGACCACTAAGACAGGCATTTGGTTTGCTGGGACACGGTGTGGTCCGGCCTTATCCTCCTCGGATTTCGGGGAAGAAGCATTTGGCTGGCTTTCCTCCCGGGCATTGTGAACTTGTTTTAATGCCATATATATATATATGGGATATGAGGATAGATGGGATCCGGAAGCATTGGCATCAAAAACTGTGATGGTACACATTGAGTGGTTTTGACACAACGAATCTTTATACAGGTTACGGATCTTAAGTATGCACTAGTAGACACACTCCACACAAATGAATGGGCTCCTTCTCTCCGTTTGAAGGGGCTAATGTAGGTGCAGGCAAAGCAGGCATTGGTGAGCAAGTCTCCTGCAGTGGGGCCAAATATGATTGGGAAAAGATGCAGAGACCTGCATGAACAAATCATGAACGAAGTTTTAATGTTGATAACTTTCAAAACTCAGAACACAGATCCTTAGGTGTCTTCTGCCCCGGAGGTGAGGGTGTGGCAAAACAACTCTGTTTCGCCGCAGGTGTCGCTGGAGAACCTTGCTTGGCCTTCTTCAGCTCTTCCAATCGTCTCCTGGCTGCCTCAGCAAGAGCGGCCGGGGTTGGATGACATTATATACATGTCCATCTTGATATTCAATTATATTCAATTTATCCCAGTCAAAGTAAGTTTAAAACCTAAAACCTCATGTTATTATGGGGGAATTCCCATGTATAGCTAACTTATCACAAGGGTATAGCTGGGATGAACCACACCAAAGAATAACATGGACGTAGCATTGGTGCAACCTGGAAACTCCTACAATCTCATCGTAGCTTAAGGATCTGTTTAAAGACCGCTGCTCTTCCAAGAAGGAAGACCCCCGAAGCAAGGTACCACACGACCATTGACGGGTCTGCCGATCCATGACCAAGGATGGCATGAAATCTAATCCACCTTGAGACCTGTATTCGAGCCCATGCCATCAAATAGGAATGATGTGTATAATATATGATGGTATTCACCTGTGGTTTTACAGAAGATACCCAGTAATGTTGTACAAAGTGGTCCATTATCGTTTTTTTGCTGAACACCCAAGATGCAAGACCCTGCAGCATTGAGAAACACCGAGGGGGTAAACATGGTTGGGAATGCCCTGCCCTTTGCAGGATTCCCATCCTGGCAAATTATGAATTTGCAGGTCAACCGTCATTGTTTGACGGTGCAAAAACTGAATCGGAGCCGAGCGATGGGGAACCCCAAAAGTGTACTATTTTAGGAGTAGGTTTCCTACGGTTTTTTACGCCACTTTTCTGCGAATTTATGCCACTTTCCCCTGTTCCTGCCACTGTGTACTATTTTCAGCATTTTTTTTCAAAAACGTAAATTTCCGCAATCGGAGTTTTTTGGAGTCGGAGAATTCCCCAAATCTCAGCTATGGAAGACACTCACGCCAGCATTCTGGCAAGTTCAGGGAATGACACCCGGCAAGATAAGTGGTAACCTCCTCCATGTTGGCATCTTCCCACAGGTCATTGAAGCCTTTGATGGGGCTCACATGGCACCACCTGATATGCTCAGGCTTCGGAGCCTAAGCTGCATCAGAAGGGGGTCGCAGGAGTTGCTGGGATTCCCAAGCCTTGCAAACATCCAGACAAGTAACATGACATTGCCGAAGAATGGGGGCTCGTTCCTTTCTGAACTTTCCCATAGTCTGCGCAAACCGAACACCGAAGCCAATGGGATATTCCCTTAGCTGTTGTGGAATTGAAAGATGGGTAGCCCATTCCCTACTCCCCTTAAAAACATGATTATATAGGGTACACTTCAGTAAACAAAATTATCATATAAATAACCAAAGTACTGAGACTTGCGTAAGTTGGCATTGCCCTTGAATCGTTTTCGTCCAGCCCCATCCACGTAGCTGTCTGCTAACTTTCGATCAACAACCCTTCGGGCTTTCTTGCTTGTTGTAAAGAAACGAATGGCGGAGGAATTGCTCCATATGGTCGTTCTTTTTGGGGTTCTGCTACCAAAGCCTCGCATCCAGAATGAGTGTCGGAATACCTGAGGCCAAGTGCCAGGCTTACAGTTGGACCCGCAAAACTGGGGGGGGGTATCCATATTATATATATAGCATATATATATATGCATGTTATAACTCCAAGTTGAAGATTCCAAATAGATTGAGAAGACCATGGTCCTGACTGTTTCACTGTACATTTTGAAAAAACACTCATGCAACAGCTGGGGAACCTTTTGCTTTCCAAGAAGTTCCTGGAATCGTCTCATTCGAAATGCTAGGCTGGAACTGGGCTGTTCCAATACCCACACTCCTCCTTTGGCGGCAATCAGCTGCATAGCAAGAAAGGTCCTGCATGCGAGACAAACAAACATGGATTAGAGGTGCAGTTTGAATTCATCAGGCAGGGAAAAATAGGTTGAGTTTAGTTCTTAAGTGATATATATTATATATAACGATCCCGTTTTGGAAGCACAGACTTTGAAAAGAGGTTTTGTTTTAAAGACCCATGGATACATGGACAAACAAAGGGTCCTTGCAGCTAAGCAATTTCCTTTTTGAACTGAGAAGACCGAGGTGTCCCCATCAGGAAGGAAATAGTGACGATGGGTCGTTCCCCGTGATATGGTCACAAAGGAACTACAAACTAAGCCGAAAGCAACCACCAATTGCTCATCTTTTCCACGCAAAATTGTTGCCAGAAGTAGCCTTGGATCCAATTTTGGGTGATAGGAAACGTAAAGTACAAGGGATATGAGACGTTTTTGCAATCGTTTCGTTCTAGTAATCAAAGTATACTCAGATCAAGTAACGCCATCCCCGCTGGTGACAAGAGATCCAACGGGTTGCCATTGCAACTTGGCCTTCTTAAGCGTTTTGTCAAACGTCTTTCCATGAAGGGATCCCAGTGTTCGATATCCAAAGTGGCCGTCTCATAGCTAGCCAACTGCAAACAGCGGCTCAACATTCCAACTCCGGCGAAGACTTCCACGGCATCATACACCTGCCATGACACCGCAGTTGAGGGTTTGATGAAGTTTGGGATTTTGGGATAATCCTGGATTTGACCCAGTGTAATATATGTATATAAATATAGTAAATCAATAAATATACGACATATAAATATGTATACATAGAACATGCAGACATATATATATATATCTGTGTGTGCGTCTGTTTCACATGACTAGAAAAAGTGTTTCATCTTTTCACGTATCTGTATTTACACATATCATGTATCCAATGGATTCGCTGTGTATGATAAATTTGAACAAACAAATCAAACAAACAAATATATATATATATATATATCACACACACACACACATATGAGCATTCCATTTCCCACCATGTGATTGGCAGGTAAGTCCAGCCTGTTCCCATGGCAATCCATCAACATGCACAAGCAATATGATTGCTTGCATCAATACCTTGGTCTAAACATGCCCCCCTCCCCAACATGTATGAGGGACATTTGGCAAACAGTTGAACCATATGGCTTTGTCTGAAACCAATCTGGACATCCCAGTCTCAAGCCAAGCAGCCAGCGGCGCATCGAGGATCAAAAGTCGTCGAAGAAGCCGACGAAGCGCAGTATCACACATAGGCATGGTGGGCAAATGTGGGCAAGAGAACGAATCCACCAACCCCTTACAACCAAAGTGGCTACAGAGGCATAGCGACCAAGTGGTGACTCCAACACTGACTTGATTAGTTCAAATATTGCATTCCTCCAAAAGATAGCATGAAGCATTTATATGAACCTATCGAAGCCACACATATATGTGTAGAGATCCCATGTGTTTCAACACAAGGAAAAGCGGGGTTGCAGAGGGGTGCGCACCATGACTCTTCCTCTTTGGCCGGTGACCATATCGAAGCGTCCAAGCCAAACTCATTGCACCACCTGGCATGACGGAACAAATATGCTGAGGTGATAGGTCATCAACATATATATATATATAATATCATACATATATATATATAATATATATATATATTCACACACGCCGTCTTGCATGGCGATCCACAAACAGCTTCAAGGTAATTCCTCAGCAAAGGCAATTGGCTTTTTTCCAGCATACCGTTCGAGCTGGATACCGAGTAGGATTGTTTGGCGTTTGAAATGTGCGGTAAAATCAGCATTTCCCCATGCCACCACACTCATGCCAACTAAGACATATGACAATGAGAGTTTCATCTCCATGGCGACTTCTTCGCACACATCCAGGGACAAAACACTGAAAATGGAATTGGACTATATGGAGGATAGTTCATTTTTTCTTGGACATAGAAGCCCTACATGTGGCAGACAGTCTTCCAAACCCACATGATGAACAAGGGTTTCCCTGCCATCGAAAAACCACTGGCCAGACTCAGCGCGATCAGCTTGGCACAGGTTGGGCTCTACAGAGATCCATCGAAAGATTGAAGCCGTGGACAAGCAATCCTAAAGGACAGGAGAAAGGGGCATAGACTTGGGCTGGACTGAATCGATTGAATCCATTCTGAAACTGTGATTAAAATTTTCAAAAAACTCAACTGAAAAAATGCGATAAGCCACATGAAAATCAATACTGTGCTCAGCTAGGTTTCCTGGTCGCGTGCCCGTTTCGAAGCTTACATTGGCATCACTTGCTGGCCTTTCCCTTCTTTGATACCTTTCGCTTTTTCTTAACCTCCTTCACCTTTGGTGCGTTGTTGCCATCACCTGCATTCTGAGCCTGCTGCTCTTCAAAAACCTGGCGTGCTGTTTTTCCTCGAAAGGTAGCCTTGCGGCATGCTGTGCACCCTCCCCAAATGAACCTGCAATTGGAGCATCCGAAGGTTTGACCTTCAAGCACTTCGTAACGCCAGCTTTTTCCCACCTTGACCCGCCCCTGATGAACCTCTTTCCAAGTACTGTTTTCCCAACTGCTGGACGCAACCTCTTCCACAGCTGCGGGTGCTGAAGTCTTGCGCTTCTTGCTTGCTTTGCCAGCAGGCTTTGTTTCTTTTTTTGCAGCTTTGGTCTTGGGCTCTGCAGGGGTTTCAGCATGTTCATCAGGCAGGCTCAAGGAAGAGAGCTTGGTTGGGCTCTTCATTTTGCGAAGGGTCTTCAGCTTGCGTTTGCTGCTTGAAAGGGGGCTATCATGTGCTGCCTTTGGTTTGGGCGCGGGTGTGGAAGCATTCTTCAAACCCTTGGTGCCCTTGGTGGTACGCTTGACCTTCTTAGTGCGTTTCGTTGCTTTGCCTCTCTTTGCTTTCCGCCCCCGTTTCATGTTCTTCCCCTGCGTTGTGCGCATGTCATGCTGCAAGGTAGGTGTGAGGCCAGCTGCAGGCTTCTCCACCTGGGACAGGTAGGTCATATGTATACAGGGGAATATAAGGGGATAGATGCCAACAAAAATCATCACAATGCATTGGTATATCGGGCATTCGGGCATATGAAGCAAAACCTCGCCTTGTCGGGGGTTTCATCCAAAGTCTCACGTGGCAATGGGCTAGGGGTCACTTCTGTAGGTGCTGGCTCCAAAGCATCCAGGCCGTCCATATCATCCCATGGCAAGGTCTCCAACTGCAACGGGGCAGAAGTCCGATTTTGACTTGATTGAATTGAATGGTTTGAAGGCCAAAGCCATTAACGCTCCTGAATGCAAAGTATATTGCCACAAAGTGTGTCAATAGTAGGTTGGTTGGATGATCACTAATCCCTTGCATGTTGGAAAGTCCCTGGTGCCTGGTCTGGGTTCTCGGGCAGGGCAGGCGAAGCAAAAAGTTTCCAGGCAGCACCTTCAGTATTGCATCGAGCCCACTAGGTATCAAAAAAAAGTATAGGGCTTGGGGCATTCATTGGGCAATCACTTTTTTGAAGACATCCCCCTAAATGTATTATATATAATGCATGAAATTACATGCATTTAACATCCCATAAAGCAGGGTTCCTATAACTATAATGACGGTGAAGCAGGCACCAGCTTTCCAATCCACCCCACTTGCATGCAAACCCAGTAACATCCTTCAGGGGACGTTTCAGGCTTGGAACCCACGGTTGAAGCAGGGGACCTGGGATGGTTGAGTAGCACAAGTTATCCTACCCTGCTGGGATACAAAAACCAGAATTTTGATTTGGTAAGATGCTCATGCATGAAAAATAAGGTATGCACGTCGAATTGGATCGGATCTTCATTTCTTCGATGCCAGCAAGAACGGATGCCAACTCCGCTTTTTGTGCAGGGGTCATGGTGCCCCCCCCAATTCCCAACTCGGCCAGCTGGGTGTCAATGGCTTCCATTTCTGGGCTACCTTCAGAAACCCCGGCTAACACAGGTGGGGTAGAAATCGATCCATCAGGCGATGGTGAGGCATCAGGGTTGTCATCGACGTAGTCACAGTCATCATCCCCATGGTCACCCGGAGACTCATCGTCCTTAAGCCACTCCTGCTCCTGGAGTTTCCACAGCTTCCGGTACTCAGCAATCTTTTTGAACAAATTGCGCACCTGGATATCCTGGCAGGGCAAACCCATGTGAGGAAGGAATTGGGAAGGAATGGTCAGGTGCTGGGCAGTAGTTCAACCATTAAGATTTGATAACTCCAAAATCTAATCTCTATGTTTTGGCATGGTTATAGATCCATTCCATAAGTTTCCAAACTCCAGTCCCGGGGTTTCTGGCCACGCTTGTGGGTATCCAGCTGCCGTCGGAAACTGAAGGTGTAGAGCCTCCTCAAGTGCCAAGCATCCATGTAGGCCGCCCTCTTAGGGTTCTGAATGTCGTACTTCATCATGGTGTACAGGGATCGGACCTGAACAGCAGGCACACCCAGAAAATACAGGGAACAACTTTTAGACCCACCACTGAAACCGCAAAGGGGGGGACCCACATAATCCGCATGCACATGCAAATATAATGTATTAGGCTTGATCAAGTTGACTCTTCCCCTGACACGATATGACATGAAACCCAAAGGGCCTGACTCTGAAGCTTTCCGATATCGATGAAGTTCCCCTCAAAGAAGTCCAGCATACACAACAAAGCGGGGGCATTCAATTCCAAAGACTTGGTGCAAATGGGACGTTTGGGGATGGCATCATCATCATCGTCACCATCACCCACGGCATCATTGCCACCAGTGGTCTCTTCAGCCGTAATTGGCCATTGGATCCAACTGATGTCTCTCCGGAATCTACTCCGGATGGAAGCGCAAGACTCCCAATCCAAAGCCAGCTCTCCATATGGAGCTTCCCCCATCAACACGACAGGTGCAGGGGCTAATAACCCAGGAACCACAAAACCCTTTGAGTAGCAAAGATCCCTGCGATATGGAACAATTTTGTTTAATAATGCCAAATTTCAAGAACATGCCATGGTCACAAATTTTGCACAGCCACGTCCCATCCATGGCAGGACTGAAGATCCGAAAGTAAGCGAGTCAGCGCGACAAGTTCCGAAGGACCGGGGTGTTCATCAATGATCCTGAGATGCGGGAAGCTAGGTGCTGGGTGGTTGCATGGATCAAAAATGATGGGAAACCTGTTTTCTTTGTGTGATAGTGTTTTTTGGAAAAAAGGGTTGCTGTAAGTGTCCAATGGCAATGTTTTTCATGCAATCGAGATTCGGTCGATAAGGGCTCGCAATGTAATCCATTGTGTCTCCTGCCGTGTCCAAATCATAATGGGTTTCCAAGGTTTCAAGTATCATTATATATATATATATATAGATGTGTGGGATGATGTGGAACCGTCTTGCAATATTTGAAATCATGCAGAAACCATATTCTTACAGCAACTTCCCAAAAATAAATGGGCCACTGATGAAGCATGGAGCACTCCTTGGCCACAGGATTGGACCAAAGTCGAATGAGAGAGAGCTTCAGCTGGCCATGGCTGGGCTAGGTGGACCATGGTTGGTCATCATTTTCCCATATATTATAAACCGTTGATACATGTTGATATTTGAAGACTTTATGTTAAACTAAATCATCAAT